TAACCCTAACACTAAACCAAATCCTAACCCGAACCCTAACCCTAATTATAACACTAACCTAACACTAACCCTAAACCTAACACGAACCATAAACCTAACCCTAACCCGAAAGTAACCCTAACACTATCCTTCACAATAACACTAATCCTAACCCTACCACTAACACAAAACTTAAACCAAATCCTAACCTTAACCTATTCCTAACCCTAACTCTAACCCCAACCCTAACCCTAACTCTAAAGCTAACCCTAACCCTAACACTAACCCTAAACCTTATCCTAAACCTAACCCTAAACCTAACACTAACCCTAAACCAATCACTAGTCCTACCCCTAACCCTAACCCAAATATAACATTAACCCTAACCGTAATCCTTACGCTAACCCTAACACAAACCCTAACCCTAACCCTAACTCTAACTTTAATCCTAACTCTAAACAGAACACTTACTTTAAAACTAACCATAACCCAAATCCTAACCCTAACACAAATCCTATCCCTAACCCTAAACCTAAAACTAACCCTAAACCAAACACTAGTCCTACCCCTACCCCTAATCCTAACATAACACTACCCCTAACCCTAATCCTTACCCTAACTCTAACACAAAACCTAACCCTAACCCTAATATTAACTCTAACTGTAACACTAATTCTAACTAGAACACTTACTTTAAACCTAACCATAACCCCAATTTTAACCCTAACACAAACCCTAACCCTAACGCTAATCCTAACACTAAACCTAAACCTAAAACTAACACTAACACTAACCTTAATGCTAACTCTAACCCTAACACAAACCCTAACCCTAAAGCTAAACCTGACACTCACCCTAACCCTAACACTAACTCTAACCCTAACCATAACCATAACTATAACCCTAACACTAACACTAACTCTACATCTCACCCTAACCCTAACCCTAACCTAAACTAACCTTAACACTAACCATTAACCTAACTCTAACCCTAACCCAAGGACTAACTAACAAGTCCTAAACCTAACCCTAAACCTAAAGCTAAATCTAAGCCTAACCCTTACCATACTCTAACTGTAAATCTAAAATTAAACCTAACACTCACCCTAAACCTTACCATAACACGAACCCTAACCCTAACCCTAACCATAACCATAACACTAACCCTAACACTAAAACAAATCCTAACCCTGTCCCCAACCCTAACCCTAACCCTAACCTAACTATAACCCTAACCCTAACCGAACCCTACCCTAACGCTAACCCTAACCTAACACTAACCCTAATCCAAACCCTATCCCTATCACTAACTGAAACCCTAACCCTAACCCTAACACTACCCTAACATTAACCCTAACCTAATCCTAACACTAACCATAACCCCAACATTAACCCTATCACTAACCTGAACCCTAATTCTAACCCTAAATCTAACACTAACCCTATCCCTAACCCTTACTTTAATCCTAACACTAACACTAACCCTAACACTAACCCTAACATTATACCTAAACTACCCTTAACCCTAAAACTAACCCACACCCTAACCCTATGCCTCACTCTTACCCTCTTTCTAATCATAACCTAAACCCTAATTTTAATCCTAACCCTAACAAAAATCCTCAACCTAACCCTTACTCTAACACAAACCATAATTCTTATCCTAACACTAACTTTAACACTAACCCTAACCCAAACTCTAACCCTAATTCTTTTTTTTGTTTGTTTAAGAAAAGTTTTACTAATGTGTTAATATTTCAGCAAAGTTATTGCAATGGGTTTAAAAGGCAGACACACTATAAGAGGCTATAAAGTAACAAAGTTTTATACAATTAAAATATTACACAGACCTATGGGATTTATTGAATAACTACCACATCCAGAAAAGAAATTACATCTGAAAGGTTAAATCCAGTATTAGCACCTACAATATCTCTGAAAGTAAAACTTTTAACTGCTTCATTCTCTCCTAATATATTTCTTAACTTTCTCCCAAAAACAGTGCTCTCAAACCCAGAAAAGAATGAGGAGCATAAGAAACCCAAACACTAGGAACATACAGACAAAAGAAGAGCTAGAAGTACTGATCCAGACTTAAGAGTTTAACTTGGAAGTCACTTAACTTATTTGAAACCAATTATAAGATTTCTGTGCACTGAATACTGTAAGAGGCTGTATGAGGAATCTATAAATCATAAAGTTGCCAGTAGGGTAAAAATTAGCAATATACAGTATTATGCCTATCAAATTTTTTTCTCATAAGTTATATTTATAACAAAACTATAATTAAAATATTTACTATACTTGCTTATTACACATTCAGGGACACAGCAGGGACATATGTGTTTGATGGTTTAGCATCCACTTTATTGTGCTTACTTATTTGTGTAATGAACAAGCAACACATACCACGTCTTTCCAACATTCAAGGTAATGCAATAATAACATAAAAGGCTCCAAATAAAATAACTGGAAATTGCATTCAATACTGCTTTAATTAGATATAACTGCTATAGTAAAACAAATAACATTATACAGTATTTTTTCAATGAGTTTCGGTTTGAAAACTGAACAACAGAAATCAATCTCAAGATTTGAATCATGGCAAAACTGGCAGTTCTTTGAAATCTGCGAAATGCATCAGCATAACCACAGACACAGTCTATCCCTCACCTGGAAAAAAGACATTTATTAATTTGGGGGAATAAGACCGAACATTCACTAATAAAAACTCGTTGAAGTCTAAAGGCACCTGGAAAATTGGCCCAAGGAATGAATAGATTTCATGGTACTGGTAGCAAGTAAGAAATAAATAAAACTTTGCATTGGGCTGACCAATTGCATATTTTATAATCACTTGGAATAAAAAAAATGTGAAATGCTTCATTGTGTTTTCTCAGAAACGAATCAAAAGATTACAGAATCCTACACAATTTAAAGACACAAAGTGGATGCTGAGCGACTAGAGGTCACTCCAGGTGTGGAATTTTAGAAAGTTAGTCCTTGGAGTAAATGGCACCATGGCTCTGGCAGCAGATACAAAGGAATGATGCTCTGGAGAGGAGGTAGGGACACTCTTGTGATCAGCCAGTGGGTAGATGAGGGTCCCAGCTGGATGTGGGATCTTTAATTTTATGGTTTATCTTCCACTGCTCATGCCTCTGTCTTCATAAATGGTAATTTCAATAACTCGAAGTCCTCTCTCAATAGGGTCTGTTAGGAGGAGACCTTGGGCAGCATATATCTTCTCATTCTGTTCTTGAATATACTTGGAGACTTTCTTCAGAACCTTCTCATAATGAGTTTCCATACATAAGAAAATGGTATATGCTGTTAAACAAGCCAAACAGCCTTCAAGATATGATTGGCCCCCAAGCTTCTCTGCTTCTGCATAAAGGTTATTTAGAGTTCGAACTGTCTCTTCAAACTGCTGCCTATCAATCTGGTTCTCCAGCTCCGCGGGGAACTTGGTCTGGAACTGGCAGCGTGTACCACTGCTGTAGTCTCGTTGAATGAATACCTTCCTGGACACCGGCACCTGCTGCGGCCTCATGGCGAGGACAGGACCGGCCGCGCTGCTTCTCCTGCCCTCCAGCTGCTGTCATGCCACCTTCTCTAACCCTAATTCTAAAACTAACCCTAACCCTAACCCAAACCCTAAACCTAACCCTAACCCAAAACTAACGTTAACCATAAACCTAACACTAACACTAACACTAACTCTAACCATAACCCTATCCCTAATCCTAATTCAAACCCTAAAACTAAAAGTAACCCTAAATCTATCCCTAACCCTAATGCTATCCATAACCCTAACACTAACACTAACACTGATCGTAACCTTAAACCTA